ATAGGTCACAGCACATGGCTCAGGTTACAACACATGTCACAGCACATGGCTATAGTCACATAATTGATCACATAGACTATATAGCACCACCTCACCACCACCACCGTCTCACATGCTCTAACCCTACTCCGCCACTGCCACCACCGCCGACAACTCACCACAACCACCATCACTAACGTCGCCAACACAGCCTCACCAATCGACAACTCACCACAACCACCATTTTCAACCACCACTACTTCACAAACCAACCACATCGCACCGCACACATCAATCACCATCGCAATGTCAATCACCACAACTCAAAAATGAGGAAAAAAATGATGGATCTGCACTCCCGAGTCCCGAATTCTAGCTGATGCCGGATAATTGATTTGCACACCCAAAAGTTCAAATCGCCGCTGCGACAGAGCAGACGTTCAAATCGCGCGACGCTCACATCAAGCAGGTTTCTGTAGCGGCTGGCAACGATGACCGTCTTGAGCGGTGGCGCAGCGTCTTCGCAACGGTCGCAACGCTGCTTCAGAGCAACGCCGCCTTAGAGAGGTGGTGGTGTCGTCCTTGCAACAATCCGGCGGTGGGTGTTGTGTTTCATATCAACGAGGTGGCTACAGTGGCTACGTGGTGAATGATATTAATTTAAGCTCATGTTTGATGACTATTATTTTGAAAAAATTGAGTTTTGGGAAAATGTGATTAAAAAATAGGAAATTTTTTTTTGGATTTAAGTAAAAAATATTTTATTTTATGAACGTGTGATTAAAAATAAATACGAGAATTAAAAAGTTCTCAACTAATGGTGGTTGAACCGTAGCTAAATGGGTTAAATCCACGAATGGCACCCAACTTTATATTTAGTGTCATCGACCACCCAATTTGATTCTGTTTCACCATGGTTACCAAACGTTATATTTAGTGTCACCATAAGCACTCAATCTGATTTATTTCATCATGACCACCCAATTTCTTTTCACAATTTTCACTAATTTTAAAAGGGGTAAAACGGTAAATCTGCATTATATAAATAAAATAAAAAATTTAAAAAAAGTTTTTTTATTTAAAAAAATTATTTTAAAATAAGTTTTTATTTTATTTTAAAAACGTTTTTTTATTTTAAAATAAGTTTTTGTTTTATTTTATTTTTTAAGGAACATTTTTATTTTTATTTTTCTAAGTAACTTTTTTTAAATAAGTTTTTATTTTATTTTTTTCAAAACTTATTTTATATATATAATGCAAAGTTATCGTTTTACCTCTTTTAAAATGAATGATAATAGTGAAAAGAAATTGATTGACCACATTGAAATGTTATATGAAACTGGTTGATCATAATGAAACGTTATATAAAATTGAATGGTCACAGTGAAATAAAATCAAATTGAATGATTATAGTGACACTAAATATAAATGTGAGTGGTTATAATGAAATAAAATAAAATAAAATAATTATGATGGCATAAAGTTGAGTGATGATTGCTCGATTTAACGCCAACTAAATATAAAGTTGCTGGGTGAGTGCTCAGTGATCATTCAACAGTATACGTACCTACAATATCCTCTCTCCTTTCTCTCACATAATTATCCATTTCTTTTTGCTGTTTCTGCCATGGCTGCATTCAGGAGAGGCAATTAATTTGAAGAGGAAAAAGAGTGATATTGACTCGTTAATTAAAACAAGAAATCATGCCAAAGATTAAAGGGAAAGCATTATGCATTTCTCTTGCTAATGAATCCAAAAATGAGGTGTGGCTCATCCCTCAAATCTCTCATCTAAATTCCCTCTGGTTTTGCCATCTAATCGTCAATTTTGGCTTCTTCTATCAATTTTTTATCTGCATCAGCTGCCACCTCTCTATATCTCTCTTTCTTCAGCTCTCTCTCTCTCTCTCCCCGCCGATTTCTAATGATATAGATTATGTAGCAATAAGTGGATCTTGCTTCAATTTGCATAGTTCTTCTCTGATCACACAATAGGGTTTCTGGGATTTAATTCCTTGACGTTCCATTTTGGGTATTCTGATCAAACTTCAAAAGGAAAAACTAAGATCTTTTTGGATTTTGATTTACATTGTTGTACTCTTGTATACCCTTTTAAAAGTTTTCAGCTGGTTTGAGTTTTAATGTGATTAGAAGTATAAAATGGGTTTCAGATTTGGATTTGGAACTGTTTTTGTTGTTCAAATTTGAATTTTGTATATTAGGTGTAAGGGGTTTCTTCTATTAAAATTATTTCTGTGATTTGAAACTAAATTTTGGAGGAACTGGGTATTCGTATCTGCAGGAGAGCAATTGCAGATTCTTCTAGCAGTCTTCTGCATTAAGGTAGTAACCATAAGTTATTTGATGATAACTAAAATAGAAGTAATTGCTTCTTATAATTGTAGTCAGTGCTATTATTGTATGGATTATTGAAAAGGCCTCGTATTTTACTGGAATTTCGATATATTTAAGGCCAAAAAATTACTGGACAGAATATTGTTATTGTTCTAGGTGTTTTCATCTTGGCATGTCAGATGTAAGAATTGCAAAATTTATTGATTTATGGTTTTTTTTTTTTTTTTGAATATGTGCTTCATTTTCAATTATTTGCTGCTCAGATTCTGGCTGCATTTTCAGGAAAATTTACATTGATATCGGTTTTCTGTAGTAATACAATAATTTTACTGTTTTTTTCAAAGATGGCATGCGTGAACTGTTTAGGGTGAATTCTGCACTCCGGCAATCAGTATAATTGAATTTTGTTAATAAAAACGAAAATAAAGGAAAACTGCTGTGTGCTAATTGTTTGTAAACTTGTTATGCTTGTTGTACGTGAAGAGTTTAGCTCAGTACTTCTGCAAATTATTGGTGGGATAATTTGGTCGGTCGAGGAATACAAAGAAGTAAGCGTGTGCTTTTCTTGTTAGTCAAATTGTTATTCTTGCCATACACTGATTGTCAAGCTAATTAAGAGTCATAAATGTTGGTTGTTTCTTTATGTTGTTGGTAGCCCAAATCTTTATTAAATCATCTGCAATCCAATTGTTGCAAAAATTTGTATAAATGAGTGTTGAGTTTTTGGTACTCAAGGCGTCAAATTTGGAATGTACTGGTCATTATAACTCAAGCCTCTCTGTTGTTGTGTGCTCATGCTTCTTGGCTGAAATTTATTTCCTTTGTTTAGGCTAGATGACATGATAGATGAATGCATAACTAAAAAATTGTCGTGTCCTGGAAACTGCTCGGATGCTTTATGCCAAGTATTTTCTTCGCATTGCTTCTTAAGATTGACTTTCTTAACTTTGTCGGTTTTTCCCCAATGCCTTACAAGCAAATTCAACTCTTACTCAAGAAATGAGATCACCCTTTTGAATTGCATTGCACTTTTGTTTCCTTAGTATAAATTGTTTAGTTTCCTACATGCAATTCTAATTTTATTTTTTTTTGGGTTTATCAATGATTTAGGAGATAAGTATCACAAGTGAAACCGAGGAAAGAATGATTTCCAAGAATGGTGCAGGTTCACGATCTGTTGAGGAAGCTAGTAGTGGAAAAAATTCTGGTGAGCATGGTCCATTGAAGAAAGGTCCCTGGACTTCTGCAGAAGATGCAATTTTAGTTCAATATGTTACTAAACACGGAGAGGGGAACTGGAATGCAGTCCAGAAGCACTCGGGCCTTGCCCGCTGTGGGAAAAGTTGTCGTTTGAGGTGGGCAAACCACCTGAGACCAGATTTGAAGAAAGGTGCATTCACTCCTGAGGAGGAGCGACTCATCATTGAACTTCATGCTAAAATGGGAAACAAATGGGCTCGGATGGCGGCTGAGGTGTGTATCGTAATCTCAGTTCAGCTTCTCTTTTAGTTTCATTGATAATATATCCCCCTGTGACATTTAAGTGCGCGTCTTTTCTTAAGTTTAGTGTTATGTATTTCAGAAGTAGTATCTGGTTTAATTCATCATTTTAATGACATTTAGACATTGGAAATAGTGTAAAAAACACTGCCAGTCACCTAACTTATAACAAAGTTTCATGTTGGTCATCAATGAAATCTGCTTTTTAGTTTTTATTTCATTTTGGTGAACCAGTTATAATCTGTTAGTTTTTCTTAACATGTTCGATGTGGAAGACCTCCACATCTGATTTCTACAACTTCATTTTGCATCTTTAAACTACTTCAATATCTCACAGCCTTGCCTAGCATAAAGAGACTAGCCTTGCCGAGCATAAAGAGACTAGTTAGTAACTAGTCAAGCTTGACATTTATAATCAAACAATATCTTGTCCTAAAAGGCATGTAGTTGGATCTATATAATTTCGTTTGATATTCAAAAAATGTTTATCGTCATTAAAATGTTACAATATTTGTTGGTGACCTATGTTTATGACTTAGGTGAAACATCATCTCTGGAAAGTTTGAATCGAAATGTGTGATTAGAGATCCTACCTGTTATGCTTGCATCAACAGCACTTATAAATAAATATAAGGCATTCTCTCGTGTTCTTCTCATGAGAATATTAATCTCTGAAACATCTTAGAAATATTCTTTCGTAATACGGACTTCCAAAACAGATAGAGCGTTTGTTTTTGCTACTCTGGCTGTATTTACTTGTTCTCATTGATTTCCCCTTGTATTTTCCCCGTAGTTGCCTGGCCGTACAGATAATGAGATAAAAAACTACTGGAACACTAGAATCAAAAGAAGACAACGTGCTGGATTACCAATCTACCCTCCAGAAATATGTAAGCAAGCATTAAATGAGAGCCAGAGAAACGAGGACTTCCATACTTCCTCATCCGGGAATGCTCAACATCACGACTTCCCACCAATTAATAACTTTGAAATCCCGGCCGTGGAATTCAAAAGTTTGGAACTTAATCAGCTGTTATGTACACCAACACTTCTTGATATTCCTCCAACTAGCTTCCTTTGTATCCCTGCAAATGGCCTTCTAGTGCAAGGTCTCAATCCTTCTTACACTGGCAAGTCTGTGCTCTCGACATTCTACCCATCGAAGTGTTTTCAAGGATCCGAATTTTTGCATCCCAGTTTAAACGAACCTGTTTGTGATGTTGTCCCAGTAGGCATTCAATACCCAAACGATGGTTCGATGCAGATAGCTCAATCTTCTGCTCTACCGTCTGCATATAACAGTAATTCAAACTCCGATAATCCACCATCCTCGAGTTCAGTTCGTGGCTGCCATTCCATTTTAAATGGCAACTCTAGCTCAGAGCCTGCTTGGGTGATGAAGCTAGAGCTCCCTTCACTCCAAACTCGAACAGGTAGTTGGGGATCACCTTCTTCTCCACTTCCTTCCCTTGAATGTGTTGATACTTTGATCCGGACCACTCCGACTGAAAACACTCAGTCGTGTAGTCTTTCCCTGCAAAACAGTGGTTTGTTGGATGCTGTGCTGTATGAATCACAAAATATGAACAATTCCTGTCAGAAATTTTCTCAAGCATCGGTTAAGCCCATTGATGTAATGGATACTTCGTCTCATGATCTTCATGAGACAAAATGGGAAACATATGGTGATCCGCTCTCTCCTTTAGGTCATTCTTCTGTGTCCTTCAGTGAATACACCATCAGAAGCAGAAATCCATTGGATGAATCCGAATCAGTTGAAACTCTGCCAGGTCTGAATTATTTATTTTCTACAAAAACAGTCTGGATTAGGTTTTTGATATGCTAATTGTATTCTCTTGTCTTTTAAGGATGCAATATTAAAGAAGAACCAGTCGAGCCTGTCCCAATGCAATACGATGACAACTCCGAGACAGCAAAGCTGACAATCTTCTCCAGGCCTGATTTCTTGCTTGCCTCAAACTGCTTTGTTCCTAACAATGACTGGACTTGGGAACATTCCCTGCCGGAAGATGCATTCGGGCCATTCCTTGGTGAGGATTTGAGCTGGGACTGCAAGCAAATGGACAGTGGTGCTACATCTTCAGCTCAAGGGTGTGGGCATAGTTCTTGTGCATTGAATACCATGTCTACTGTCTAGTGTCAATTGCTTTCAGTCTTGTATATCTCACGTTTCAAATAGCCTCGTTTAGAACTTTTTCAACTGTTATGAATATATCTGTGGAGAATGAAGTTCTTATTTTTTAATTGTCAGTCGTTGGAATATCGCATTGGCTTCAAAAACCGGCATCAGTTCTCTGATGTTTGTGAGTCTTCGATGATATGGAGATGGGCACTAAATTGTGCATGAATGACAACTTAGGTTTTCAGTTTTCATGATATTACACGTGGACAAATCTGTTGGAAAAAAATGAGTTAGTGGGTGACTTTGGCACGAATTTTGAGCGGGACCTGTTTGGCTATTTTGGAAGATGAAAGTTGATTTGTGTTATTTTCCGTGAGTACATCGAAATCAT